TTCTATTTACCAGCTGTGGCTCACATTGAGACCTTATTTCTCAATTTCCTTGACCAAAGTGGCTCATTATTAACTGGACATTACCTAGGTAACACATCGGCGTCAGAGGGCTCCTAGGGATTTCACTCTGGGTTTCCTTCCCTAGAGAGAAATCTGCAAGCCAAGTGCATCGGAGTACATTTCTGCATCTGAAATCCAAGCTCTTCTCATCCTGATGCTTAGGGCATAGGTGAAAACATATAAAACAAGTACCAAGTTCTCACCGAGAATCAGTATAGTATATTGCTTAGAGCATGGACTCTCTAGCCAGACCATTTGGGTTCAAGTTCCAAATCACATAGTAAGCGTCCAATAAATGTTAGCTGTTATTTTCACTTGTAATGAAAACCAAACTTCTGGTCTACAACCTACTTGATGTGTTCCCAATCTCCATAAACCTCACCTTGTTCTACCTTCCTCAACTGTTCACAACCCGCTTTCCACTTGTTTTTCTCCCAGTTAGGGAGGTTCTCCCAAGTCTAACTGGCTCCTTATCACCATTTAGGTTCTGGGTTTCATGTTAACCCTTCTGCAAAGAGCTTTCCTCTAATTAATCTATCCAAAATACATCCCCACCCCAATACATCAGTTTCGTTTCTTTTATGATACTTAACACTAATTTATTTGTTAATTTGTCTCCCCCATTTACATGTAAATTCCAAAACAGGAAATCTCTTGGTCATCTTTTTTTTTTTTCTTGTTCATCTTTATCCCAGAGTTTAGATATCTTGTTCATCTTTATCCCAGAGTTTATATATATCCAGTTAAAAACCCCATCTGAATGTTAAAAAAAAAACTGGCCACAATCCCCAGAGAAAACAAAATTTCAAAGAATAGAAAAATTTGGATCCTGTAACAGGTATCGGTTATACTGATATCCCAACTTTTGGAAAAAAAAAAATCTTTCACTAATTTGAGAAAATGCCAGATTGGGCTGTCTCCCGATTGCGGATGTCGGGACCCAAATTCCCAGACGCTCTTGCAGGTAGGACGGAGGCATGTGACTAGGCTCTCCCTACCAGACACACCTCAGAAAACTGAATCAGAAGAGCAATCGACGTAAAGCGATTCTGCTTTCTGTCCCCCGAGCAGTGGCTAAAGTTCTGAGCTTTCTGGGAGAGCAGTGAGACTATGCTAGCCGTTTCCTCTAGTGCTAGATGGGGCAGCATAGCATACAAAGTGTTCTCAGGTCACTTCTGTGCATGGTTTGGGGCATCACTCCTGGAATTACAGCTTTAAGGCTGTCCACAAAATTCTCAGAAGCACTGTCTTACTTTAATAAGCCCCTTTCCCTCTTAAGCAGCCAGAGTCATCTTCCGTTGCCTGTCCAGTTGAGAACCAAGTTTGCAGGAACTACCGAAACTGCTTAACTTTAGGACGTCAGCCTTTAGAGTCGGAAATAGTTCCCATGTCAGTCCCCTTTGTTTCTTGGTATGTATCAGAAGTGGCTTTTGTCCTGGTAGTAAGAAGCTGGAACACAGGCCAGCCATCTTTACTCTCCTCTCCTGGTCTCGGTCATTTATTTCCACAACTCCTTGGGAAAAACAGTCCAAGAAACCTGCTCCACCTTTACAAAAAAGGTTGAGGCATACCCATTCAAAACATGGGTTACAATGTTTCACAGTTAAAAGGTAAGGACTATCCTAATTTTGCATTTGATTGTTAAATACCATCCTTTTATGATAAAATAAGAGTCTCTATCAGAGGTTGCAAACTGAGTAATCTGACCTGCAGGGGTTTTGTCTGGTCCACAAGCTGTTAAACTTAAAAAAACTGCAGCCAGAAATACAAAGATTTCACATTTACATCTGTGATTTCTGAGGATTATAGACCCGCACCCAACAATCAGCTCTGAGAGTGGAGGCCCTTTTGACACAGCAGGTATTCTTCAACTTGCCATGGATACCGACCAAATCTTTGCTTTTAATTCTGTATAGATTAGAAGTTACACAGACCTGCCATTTCATGAAAATGTAAATAAGTAAACATAAAAACACCTACATTTTGTACTACTATAAAATATGGGAATAAAATACATGAAATAAAATAGAAAAGGCAAATTGAAGGAAAGAATTGGGGAGTGGTTTGGTGGGTGTCAAGGTTCAAACATGCAGGATGGAAGGTTCTGTAATCTGTTGCACACCATGTGCATGTGGTTGACAATACCGTATTTTACACCTGGAAGTTACTGAGAGGGGAAACTGTGTGTGTGTGTGTATGTGTGTTGTGTTTCGCCACCAAATAGAATCAATGTAATCCACTGCATCAACCAAAGAGAAAAAGGCAGCATGTAACGCAGAAAAAGCACTTGATGAATTCAACAAAAACTTAGCAAACTATAAAAGGAAGAAAATTTCTTTAATCTGATAAAGGGCAGTAGCTACAGTAAAGCAATAACAAGTAATATTGGTCAGTCAAAAGTTTTTCACCTGAGATCGTGAAGGACATAAGAATGCTCACTATTCCACTTTAATTCAATATTGTATTTGGTGTACTTGGCCAGTAAAGCAAGAAAAAAAAAAATAACAGATTGGATTAGGAATAAAGGGCAGGGGAGAGCAGAAGGTTGGGACTTAGGCTTGAGGATTCCAAAGCAAGCCAAACCACAGTATACAGTGTGTACAATACTGTAAGAAAAGTTTTTCTTAAATCAGCAATTTATAAGAGAAACTGACAGACTACAAAGGTTTCCTTTATCTTACTAAATATCTCACTCCGATACTAATTCAAATACTTAATAGAATGACCCTTTCCCACACAATTAAAATCATTTACGTTTTAAACATTTCTGTAGAATATATTCTACCATTTGAAATAGAAAGAAGACCCAAACAATGTCTTAGCAAACAATAAACTGACCTTAAGTATATCATCTGTGATCAATTCAGGAAGACTAAGTTTACTACACCTTTCCAAGCATAAAAATAGACGATTTAAAGTACTTTTTGATTGGGGGAGGTGGGAAAAAAGCAGAACAGAGAAATGACCTGTCAAAACACAAAATCCCGTCACTTAACATTATAACTCACATGTTCAAGACATCTTTCAAGCGCTGAAAACACAAGATAGTTCTCAGAAACAGTATTAAAACCCTTTAATAACAAGAGCATCCAAGACATTACAACAAAAAAGCCCTTAATAAAAAGGAGTCCATGTATTCCGTTATTGGACAATCCCAGTCTCTCCATGCATTCCTGGGGGAAAAAATGCAAATAAATGTATCTTTTGGGTAACATGGCAATCCACATCTGCCTCCGGTCAGACTCTCCCATCCACCTCAGTACTGCGGAAATGTTCCATCGATTCTGGCAGCCCAGGCCATGAGGCCCCCCACAACATCCTGAACTGTTAAAGATTCTAACTCCTGGACTGCTGTCAAGGACTGCAGGATCTTCACGGCTTTCTGGGAGTCATTGCCAAGTTTGCAAATCACATAAACTGGGAAAGCTACCCCTTCCTGTGTGCCCTGCTTCCCTTCCCGGATTGCTTCTCCTAGGAGTTCCAGGCTCTCCGCATTCCTCCGTTCCAAATGTTGCAAAGGGATGTGTAGGGCATGAGGCAAACGACAGATGTCCACCTCCACTTGAGGCCTGACGTCCAGCAACAGGTGGGGTGAGCCTGAATCCAGAAGTCGCTTATAGTCGGTGACCGAAACTCGCTCCTCTGGGCTCAGCAACTGCAGCGAACGGCACTTCTCAGTGGCTGAGGAGCCACAGAAGGCTTCGTAGTCCTGCAGGTCAGTCACAGTGGGCCGCTCGCCGCAAGCTGCACAGTCAGGCCTGCGGCTCCGAAGCTGAATACAGCGAAACTGTCCTCTGAGGGCATCAAAGATCAACAGGCTGCGACTGTAAGACGGACCCAGACCTGCGGCGATCTTCAACACTTCCAGCGCCTGCAAGCAGCCCAGGACCCCAGTTACGACTCCGAGCACGCCGCCATCCGCGCAGTTGGTCACTGTCTCCGCTGGAGGTGGTTGGGGGAATATGCAACGATAGCAAGGCCCGCCGTCATAGTGGTACACTGTGATTTGGCCCTCAAAGCGCAGGGCGCTGGCTGACACGAGAGGCCGGCCGGCTAGCACACATGCGTCATTAACTAGGTAGCGAGTGGGCACGTTGTCAGAGCAGTCAGCCACCACGTCATAGCGGCGGATTAAGTCTAGCGCCGTGGCTGGGGTAAGCGCCTGAGCATAGGGCACGCACTCCACCGCAGAATTGAGGCGGCGCAGCGCGGCGGCGGCCGAAAAGACCTTGGCTTGGCCTGCCAGCGCCTCGCCATGTAGCACCTGGCGGGCCAAATTGCTCACTTCCACTACGTCATAGTCCACAAGGCCAAGGCGGCCGACGCCGGCCGCTGCCAGGTACTGCGCCAGTGGGCAGCCGAGCCCACCGCAGCCCACGACTAGCACGGACGCGGTGGCCAAACGCAGCTGTCCGTGCACGCCCAGCTCAGGCAGCACTAGCTGCCGGCTATAACGCAAAATCTCATCTCGAGACAGGGCGGCCTTCGGCGGCAGGGGCGACACCGGAACCAACCTCCCTGGCTCCTGCTCCGCCAAAAGAGCCGCCGCCAGCCTCTGCTTCAGAGAACTTAGCTCTTCCTCACGCCGGGAAACTTCCGCCTGCAAGGCGAGCACCTCCTCCCTAGAAGCCATGGCGCCTCTCTCGGAAGTTGTCTTGAAAGGCATTTCCTTTTCCGGCTTAGCGTCTCCTAGCGACTGGAATAAACTAAGAAATTTTTACGGAGCATAGGAAAAAGTGATAAGTAAACATGTACTTCCTGGAGAAACCCTCAGATTCAACTTTAAAGATTCACAGTGCCTGGATATTTCCAATGGAACCACGAAGAGAGCCTTAGGAGAACTAGAACCCAACCACATAGCCTGTACGCCCTCTTCCTGAATTTGGTACGGTCCGACCCATCCCCTTCCCGCGCGCCGCGTGACGTCATTCCGTTTCCGGCGTCTCGCGCAGTTCCGCCATGGCCTCCGAGGAAGCGAGCGGTAGTCCTCGTAGGTCTCGGCGTGAGCCGGAGGGGCGCGCCCCGCGACAGGACAAGTATTCAGTGCTTTTGCCCACCTACAACGAGCGCGAGAACCTACCGCTCATCGTATGGCTGCTGGTGAAAAGCTTCTCCGAGAGGTAGCGTGCCCGGCCGCCCTCCCTGAGGAATGAGATGAGCTGGCTTCGCCGGCCTGGGTGTCGGCAGTTGGCTGCGCGAGGCGGCCCTGCGCGGCCTCCCTTCGGCTCTTGAGGGAATCCTTGGGGAGAAGGCCACCCTTGGAGAAAGCAGAGGCCGATACTTCTGGGGTTCTGTCCGTGTCTCGGGTTCATTCCTGCCCTTGGGTTTTGTGAGACATTCCCTTATTGTACACTTCCCACCACCTCTTTCCCCCTCCTTCCCCAGTTACCCCCCCCTTTTTTTTTTAAAGTAGGGTTGGGCACCATTTCACTTGGAGCGAGGTTCAAACCTTGACCTCACTCCTACTTCTGGATGGTCAGGATGCGGCAGGAGCCGGGAGTCTAAATGAGCACGCTCACTCCCGCCCCCGTGCTGAGTGCTTATGTAAGCATGAGGTTTGACTCTGTGGGTTAGGGAGCTGCTGCTGGGCTGGGCACCTTCGTTGGTCACTAGTGGATGTTTGATGTGGTTGTTAGAAACTAGGGCTTTTAGACTTTGAAAGTGTTATACAATATTTTTAAAATTTCGGAATATCCTGGTATCAGTACGAAGTTACTTGTTTTAGGGTTATACCAATGGGATCATGTATAGATCCCTGAAGATCTTTCCAGATCAACATACACCAACTTAGAAAATTATTTTTTTTTTAATTCGGTAATATTCCATATGACTTATAATTTAACTGGGTCATCCCAGTGAACACAGATTATTTCTAGAGCTTTTTTTGTTTTCCTTTTTTGACTTTTGCTTTATAAATGAAAACAGACTTTGTTCACCCCATATTTTCCACCATTTAGAAAAGTGCTGGACCCATAGTGAATGCTCCTTTAGAAGAATGTTGCAACAAACACATTCATACTTTTACTAGTGTACTGGGGGTAAAGTCTTCAGGATGGAATTGCCGGGTCAACAGATGTGCTTAAAATTGACAGTTATTACCAAATTGCTCGCAAAAAAAAAAGATTGTACCGCCTTAAGATGGGCATTATTCAGAGAGTGCTTGTTTCCCCACCAACCAGCCAACCCGGGCTTTAGTAAACTTATATTTTTGGAAATGCTAATTGGTGAAAAACATTGCTGTTTTGACTGTAATTCTTTGAATGACATAACTATCATAATGTGCATGGCTCCTCACAGTTTTTTTTTAATTCATATCTTTTTCCTCTTTAGTTATCTTCTTATTTTGGTTTCTATAAGCACTTTCCACATGAGAGAAATTGTCATATAGTAGATCTTGTTCAGTTTGTCCTCTGAGTCTCAAATATTTTTTGCTTTAACCCGAGTGAGGTTTAAAGAAGGAAACGATTTTCTTTTCAGATGTGGTCAAATTAAAGGCAGCTTAACTGGATTCCATTAGACTACCTTACCCTCAGGTGTTCTGGGCACGTTGAAGTGAGAGAAAGTATAATTTGCTAATAAATGACTTCATTTGTTTATGAAGTATATCTCTTTCAGCATATCAACCAGAATCAACATCTTACATATTTTGGCTTGTAAAGTAGTTGCCCAAATTAAAGCATCTCAGGGAGCTGAAGTCCTGGTATTTCCTCCTAACAGGCTAAGTTTAGCTTTCTTCCTAGTTTGCCGGGCCTGACTTTTTTAAGCCTTTAACAGTGCAGTGTGTTTTCTGGTTGATTTCCTTATATTTGTTTTTAGTATGGACAAAGAGGAAACAGTGTTGTGGGAGTTTTGCTGTGCTTTCCTTTACTTTCTGCTTCTTAAGTTTCCAATAAAATTATAAAAAAAAAATCTAAAACGAGTTGGGGGAAAACATAGTGATAACATATACAACCAAGTATTGTGTTCGCTTGTTCTTAGAATAGAAACTGTAACATAAAGTTAATGGAGAACCAATAGAGAGATGTTCATTTTGAAGCACGTTGAAATCTTATGTATTTCTCTGCTTTTTGTATGTAATAGTGTGAGGTAATGGGTACAACTATTTGAAATAGTGGTGTTAAGAGAGTATGTCACCATTTTAAAGGGGTTTTTTAAAGGATGATAATTTGTTCCTTGTGTTATTTAAATCTATTTGGAATTTAAAAGAATATTCACTCAGCAATTCAGTCAACTTGAGAGATCTTTTAAATGTACTTTTGAAGTATTTTTTATAACCAAGATTGATATTAAGGTCCTATAATTCTATTTCTAAATAGAATTCCAAATTGTACAGCCAGGTAAGTAAAATTTTATGAGAGTCCTATCATATATAATATACAATTGCTATGAATTTTTAAATTCAAGTATGTTTTCTGTGTGAATTTTTTAACATCTCAGGACTTCATTACAGCATTTTTCGGCAACACGCTGAGTTTGGAGATGAAGTACTAAATGACATTTATTTCATTTGGTAATTGAAGTTTTCCTTAGTGATTAATATGACAATTCCCACTTATACTGATGAGGAATTAGTAATTTTAAAATTATTTTTTTATTTTGAGAATACGGTCTCCAAACAATACAAACTTTCAATTTGTTTTTTATTTTAGTGGAATCAATTATGAAATTATAATCATAGATGATGGAAGCCCAGATGGAACAAGGGATGTTGCTGAACAGTTGGAGAAGATCTATGGGTCAGACAAAATTGTAAGTCATGTGAACATTTTTCTATCATATCACTTGTGTTTAGGGAAAAGATGAGAAATGACAATGCTTAAATTCAGTCTATTTTCTGGAAACTGAAATGATAGAAAGCATCTTATACACTTGGGATTCAGGTGCATTTTCATTGTGCTTGAAGTTATACATGACTTTGATATGTTGGATCAGTAGTAATTGTACAGCAAGGGGCACCTGGGTGGCTCAGTTGGTTAAGCGTCTGCCTTCGGCTCAGGTCATGATCCCAGGGTCTTGGCATTGAGCCCCGCATCGGGCTCCTTGCTCAGTAGGAAGCCTGCTTCTCCCTCTCCCTCTGCCTGCTGCTTCGCCTGCTTGTGCTCTCTGTCAAATAAATAAATTAAAATCTTAAAAGAAAAAAAAGGTAATTGTACAGCAAAACAGCTTTTACATAAACTGTTTTTACAACTTTCTCTGCAGATGAGTTCTCTTGAAGGGCGAAATTAAAGCATGATACTGAATTGACAAGGAATATTACAGAAGTAGATTGCAATTAGTAATGTGTGTCTTGATATTTCTGCCTCCCTTTTTTTGCAACTATAAAACCTTGTAGCTGGGGAGGGTGATTGTTTCCATGGAAATTTGGCATCTTTTTATTTTTCAGAGTACTTAGCATCTCCTTATCTGTAAAGCAGTCTTAATGGGAGTAGATTGACTTTCCAAGTCTTAAATTTTCCCACGTACTTTGAAGGGTGTTGTTTTTCTACTGGAGAAACTTAGATGTAGAATTCATTTTATAATGGCTTTATAATTTTTGTTTTTGATCACTGGTTTATTTTTATAATGGTTTGTATTTGTAAATGTTGGAATATACTTGTGAGCTCAACTCTAGATAATTTTTGGGCCAAAAGCATGCAGTTAAGTCCAGATTTAATTAGAAAACACATTCTAGGCATTGGGTATTTTATAATATGTATAGACTAGAGTTTCTCAGTCTTGGCACTGTTGACATTTGGGACCTAATAATTCTTTGTGGGGGTGGGAGGGTGTTGCCTGGGCGGCGGCTGCATCCTGTATGTTAGAGCACATTTAGCATCATCCCTGGACTCTTACCCACTAGATGCCATTTGCAGCCCCTCTCCCCAGGGTGGCAACCAAAAATGTCTGTGGGTATCATCAAATCACCCCTTATGGGCAAAATTGTCCTCTCCTCCCAAAAGAGAACCATCGTTATAGACATAAATGAAAGAAGTCTCTTGGAGAACCTTTACTGATATTTGCATTTTAAGAAAGGGTAATTAAGCATTTTAAAAAACTGTCACCAGGTACACATATTCTTGATTAATCCTGATAATGAAATAATTCCTATTCAGTTGAAGGAGATGGTGGTCAATAGGAAGAGTTTAAGGGAAACGTGTTACTCTTATACACATGGTAAATCTTTTCTCTGCTAGTTATTCTTTCCATATCACACATGGGCAACTCAAGGATTACACCTCCAGTCCTCTTAATATCTCCTCATATACAGGAGGAGATTAAAAATTGACAGATTTTCAACCTTCTAGCAGTGACTTCTGATGATGTCGGGTTCATTTTTTTAGCCACCAGTTCCCCAGTTTTTCTTTTAGAGGTTGTGAGCCAAGGCACTGACTCACATTTGTTATTATATAGAATACTCTGACTTATGTGTTATTTAATCTGGGAACATCAACCTGACAATATTTTGAACACTTCTGTCATAGAACTCCATTCAGCCTTGAGGTGTAATTGATTGATCGATCTTAGGCTATGCCTACTAAATTGACTTTTTCAAATTCTAAAACAACGTGGCCCTCAAAAAGTTCCATTTTTCCCATCAACCCAATAAAATTCAAAATAATGAGAAAAAAATTATATTCACCGTTACAATTTTCCCGTATTACCTGGTAAGTCCCCTGTTCCTTCATTATTTTATGACCTTTAAATCATTTAAAGTATAAAATTGCCCTTTTCCCCCACCCCAGACAATATCAGGCCATGCCGTGGATGGCGCTTACTTGCTTGTAAGTGATGTGTGTGGTTAGTTGGGAGAGAAGATGGAGACGAATTATTACTGAAGCTATTTTACAACATCTCAAGATATTCAGCATAGAGGCTTTGTTTGCTGGTCTTTAAAACTGGCTGAAATGAATGTTTCAGAAAACGAAGGAAGTTTTTTTTCTTTAAACTCTGTGAAGAAACTGAGATGAGAGTTTAAGTCACTTTCCAAGGTTACACAGCTAACAGATAGTGGAGGTGGGACGTAGAAAAATTGGAGACATGTATCCTGAACTGTTAACCATGGTTATAGGGCGGAGGGATCTGAGATTGGGCTTCAGCCTTTCCATGTTGAGTGCTTCTGTTACATTTGATGTGTGTCATCTGTTTCAGCCTCCAACTTGAGATTAAAGTCACCTATGTTATTTCATAGGTTAGTATTTTTACAAATTGTTCTTTTAATAAAACGTAATGCATGTTCATTACTTTTAAAACATCTAATATAACTGTAGGATTGAAAGATTTGACTAAAAAAATACTGTTTATCCCTAAGTACGAAAATATTATCTCTAACAAAAAGATCAGTACCCTGGGGCTCCTCGGTGGCTCAGTCCGTTAAGCATCTGCCTTTGGCTCGGGTCATTATCTCAGGGTCCTGGTATGATAGAGCCCCACATTGGGCTCCCTACTCAGAGGGGAGTCTGCTTCTCCCTCTCCCTCTGCTCCTTCCCACCCCCCACCCCTGCTTGTGTTTTCTCTCACACTCTCTCAAATAAATAAATAAATAAAATCTTTAAAAAAAAAAACATAATTCATAAGAACTGTAAATGACCGGAAATGAAAAAAATAAATAAAGTGAAAAAATGTGAGCCTCACTGATAAGGAATTTCAATATAGGAGGAGAGTACAATTAGCCTTTCTGAGCTGAAGACTTATTTTTATCTTCATTCTTCTTTCAACTTGTTGGATTTGAGAGTATGATAAAAACAGGTCCACTTAAATATTATGGATCCTAGGCTTCCTAAAATGTCATCAAGATTTTCTGTGACAAAAATTTTTTATGAAATAAGTTTTTTGTCAAAACAGATTATAGCATTACAGGAAGTAGCTCATAAACAGTGTGGTACGTGTTCTTCAGAGTGTGTTTGCGCACACTTTGTGTGAGTTCCTGCCGGCTCTCCTGTTGGCTGTGAGACGAGCTCTGTCGTGCCCTTCAGTGCTTTCTGCCATCCTTACTGACGTGAGGCCTCAAAAACGGGAGGGGGTGGAACTAAGGATTTGAAAGTAAAACAGTGCAACAGTGGGTACTTTTTATTGCATAAGAAATTAAAAACTACATTCTTGTTAGAAAATGAAAAAGTTGCCGATAAAACTGAAGTTGCCTTTGATGAGCATTTCGTGGTCCACCTCCTAATCTCTTCTCCAGGGGACACCCCAGTCAGCAGCTTGGTGTGGGTTGCCTGAGACCTTTGTGCATGTATGTGTACGTGTCTGCATTTGTTAGAACTAGGCAATATGGTGTTTTTTTGTTTTTAAACATAAATGCAATCTTTCTGTATCATTCTGTTGATTTTTAACTGTAGCTGAAAGATCTTTTATCCCTAAATTACCTTTCTTTTAACTGTTCCATAGTACTCTATTATATGCAGCATGATTTATATTTTATAAAAGCTTGAGAAAAAAATATTTTTCCAACTGAAGCAGGTTTATAGAAAATCTAAGGTGAACTTTAAAGGATTTGTTTTTTCAGGGCAGATACCAGGTCAATATTTTGCCAGTAATCATCAGTCACAAAAATAAAACCTGATATATCTTGTTTGATTTTGTTCAGTGAATTATAGTTACTGTACATGATTGTCTAGTTCTTTTGTATATAAGAGCTCATTGAGCAGGAATGTATTTTATCTTTGTTCCTCCCCAAGACCTACAGCAGTTTGCATGAAGTTTAAAAAAAAAAAAGTCTATCCTGGTTGAATTGAACTGAAAATACTTTGTTTAGAGATTTGCAGTCTGAGGTGGCCTGCCTGTACACTGGCAAATGCAGAAGGGTATAAGATGGGCTCGGTAGTGAGTCTGTTTGAGCCCCGTACCTCAGAAACTTAGAGTCCAAATCCTGGCATTCTACTTTTTCAAAAATTCCCAGACAAAAGAAAAAAGCTAAACAAGAAGTCAAGGTTTATATACGAAGCAAAAAAAAAAAAAGGTAGAAAAACTAAGTGATTGACAAAAAGTAAGAAAAGAAAAAATTTAATTTTCTTGTTAGGCATATAACCCTAAAGTCATGTCATTGGGCCAGTAGAGAATGTAATGACGTCTTCCAAGCATAAAGTCAGGATACGTTGATGGAGTGATGTCAGCATTTAAAATCAACCAAGGAATCTAGAGAAAAAAGTGTGCATACCCTTTCAGCCAGTGATTCCACTTTTGGGATGCTGATTACAGAAATGACAGGACCCCTACAAAAGGATATATGTACAAGTATCTTTATTGTAGCAATATTTGTAATGGCAAATACCTGGAACCAACCTGAATGCCTTAACTAATGAATGACCATATATTGTCTGACTTGTAACTGTAGCCTGTATTATTTTTGTAACTAAAAAAAATAAAAAAGGGGGGAATCAAGAACATAAATAATAAAATCACAAAAGAGATTGAGAAAACAGACATGGCTATCAAATACTCAAAGAAAATATAAGATAAGTGAGTTAAATCCTTGATTTTCTTAGGAGAAGGAATCAACAGATACTGTTCAAAATGGTAAATCAAGTAATAGAGGTAACATTGTTTACGTGCTGTTTTCTGGTGGATAGCACCAGAAAAAAAATGTTTAAAATTTGACCCGCAGGGTTAGGGTAAAAGAATGTTGTTTTTCCAAGCTGTTAAACCATTTGATTTGTTACTAAACACTTTTTTACTTTGGCAATAAATGTTAAACATACTCTGCTGTAAGTTCTAATAAATGCAGCTATATTTCTGTTAAAAGGAGTAGACAGCTATAAGAAATTTTTTATTAGTGAGATTATTTTTAGTATTTGTGTTAAAATGCTTTTCTTATTCTTGCAGCTTCTAAGACCACGGGAGAAAAAGTTAGGGCTAGGTAAGTAGAAACTCTCACCCCTCATACTTGCTTCTTGAACTGGTAAGATTATCTTGTGTGTATTTTCCTAATTTGGAACAAGGCCAAAATACAGTGACCTCCTGTGATGGTTTTTAATGATTTTAATGACATGTATATGGTTTAACCTGAGTTGCCTGTATCAGTCAGGGTCCACTTGGGAAAACAGAAACCACTGTCAGTCTTTCAATATAGGTAATTTAATACAAAGAATCTGGTTACATGGATGAAGGAATGCTGAGAAGCCAAATGGAATGGAACAGTGAGGCTACTCAAATTAGTAGTAGCCGGAGGTTGCTACCACCCCTAGAATGGAGCAACAGTAGGAGGAGATGATGTTTTTGGAGCCCAGGAACCCAGGCTATTTAGAAGGGGCTAGAATGATGGAGTGGGGGATACCTGGCAGGAGCTAGAGCTGTCAAGGATACCCAGTCAGTGCTGGGAGGCAGAGTAAGAGGGGGGACACACTTATACTTTTCCTTTTCTCTCTCCTGGAAACTATCCCTCCTGCCTCCCAAAGCCATCTGACAACCAGTTGAGGAGAGCACCTGGGAACTGTAGTTCCATGCAGTGTAGAACAGAGGCAGGGCCAGAGAAGGGATCTGAGGGCAAGTGTTTTGGAAAACCAGCACGCTGCGTTAGCTGTAACTCTGAACATTTCTTTATAAGTAATGGCAAAATGTAAAAAGTTATTCTTTATTTTTAAAAAAGAAAACTTTTCTAGCTTTTAAACATAGGGGGTTATAGAAAATCTCGGGTGACATACGCCTGCAGCAGAGGGAATGGAGGGAAGTCATTCTGAGATGAGTATCTCAGTGCCTTTATTTCTGATGCTGATTACAGTTGTTTATGTTGAGAAGTGCTATAATTTTACTGAAAAATTGAGCCAGCCTGGAGGAAACACGGTTCTTAAAAATTGAGTATTTGCTGTCTTGAAGATCATCAGTTCTCGGGCATCATCAAGTGTTCTGAATATCTGAACCCAGAAGTTCTTTGGGATTGAAATAATCTGGAAACTGCCATGAAAGCAACCAGGAATTCCTGACCAGTCAGTGGAAATCCAAAAAGCTGTGATCCTCACTTTTTAGCAAAAGAAGTTAGAAGAGTTCAGCCTTGCTAATAAGACTGTGGGGTTTGGAACTAGGGAACTTTTAGGCATGAAAGTGGCTAAGTAATTGCTGGCTGTGCCTTTGACCCCAAATACCAGACCCATCTAGTGTACTAGGCTTACAGTGTTGACTGCACTCAACATTGTGGAAGTGGGCTAGGAGTGGTGGGAAGAACAGAAGCAGGGAAACACTTTTAGGTAGAGAGGTGAGCATCAGAAGGTGGTGCCTGGGACTAAGGTGAAGTTGCAGAAGAAAGAATGGAATGGAGAGATGTTTTTGATTGAGAATAAATAGAATTTAATTATAGGTTAGTATCACCTTTAAGGGACTGATGTATGCTTTTCAGATGCTTAATTTCTTCCTTGTTAATGTGTATATTTAAGCATTTCTGATGGCTTTCTTTAATGGATATATTTTCATTGTTAGGAACTGCATATATTCACGGAATGAAACATGCCACAGGAAACTACATAATTATTATGGATGCTGATCTCTCACACCATGTGAGTGGTATCATTCTTTATTAGCTATTCATGATAGTCTAAGCCTATTTTACTGACTTAATGTGTATTTTTTCTAAATTTCAGCCAAAATTTATTCCTGAATTCATTAGGTAGGTATTTTTAATATTTGAAAGAATTATTCAAATCATTTATCCTATGTTAATTTTAGACTTATTTTAATTAAAAATGCACATGCTATTTTAAGTTTGCTGTCAGAAATGAAACCAAAATATAGATCTGAGGCTCGTGACTATAGATCTGTGGCTAAATGATACATTTTAGGGACTAATCAAAGATAATTACTCCTTTATTATCTAAATTCTCCCAGACTACAGGAAAAGACGGAAGGTGACTTCCCTGTTAAATGGAATTAAGCTCTACATCATAAGGGTAAAACACCATGAACAAATAGGGTTTATTCCAAGAATGCCAGAATGGTTCATCATCAGGAATTCATCCACATAATTTATCACATTAGCAAAGAAAGCAGCATGATTAAGTGTATAGATGCTAAAAGGTATTTGATAAACTGTACTAGCCACTTCTAATAAAACTTGGAAGTGGAAATAAAAGGAAGCCACTTAAACTTGTTAAAGACAACCCAGTTCTAACACAAACATCTTACTAAATGGTGAAATGTTGAATCATTAATAAACGCATCAAGGTAGGAATACCAGCTGTCGTTATATGTGGATGTTTTAAGTGATGTAAGAATAAGAATTTAGTATGAATATTGAGTAAGAATACAAAATGGTATTTATTTGCAGGCAATATAGTTGTATTTTTAGAAAATCCAAGACAACATGAAACCTCTCAGATAAGAATTTGGAAACTGTTAATGTAAGCTCGATATACTAAAACAAAATTAAGTGATGTTACTCCCCTGTTTCAATCACTTCAGCGAGTTCTCGTTAACAGATGGGAAGAAACTCTTTTCCTTGCCCCTCAAACCGCTATTTAATCTGGCCCCTGCCTCCCTTTCTGAGCTCATCTTGTGCCTCTTCCCTCCATTCCCTCTCCTGCAGGCATACTCCTTCCATTTCTGTGTCACACGGAGCGCTGTGTTCTTTGCTTAAAATGCTCTTTTCCTGCTCCTTAATAGCCAGCTACTTCTCATCCTTTGATCTCTGCACAAAGTCACCTCAGAGATACCTTCTCTGCTTGTATATCTAATTCCCGAGAGCCCTTTGACCTGAGAAGGAAATGGAACCAGGGGAATAGAAAATGGGTGAAAGATACAAACAGGCCATATGTAGAAGAAAGACCAATGGCTCATAAGCCCGAGGGAGGACACCCTGGGGGGTGTTGTCAGGGAAACACGAAGTGAAATAACTGTGGCAGTATTTTATTACCCATTAGTTTGTCATAATTACAAACTTAAAGAGCAACACATCTAGCACCAATAAGATGGCGGGAAGTGGACACACACAAATCTAGCTGGAGGAAGTGTGAGTTGCTACAACTATTTTGGAAAGTAATTTCTGGTGATACCTGTTCAAAATACTTGTAAGCTTTGTTTTAGCAGTTCTCTTATGTTCCACTCTGGGTTGTCTAAGCACCAGGATGTAAGTTTATGAGAACGTTGCCACACTATTCGTTGTGGTTGTGTTGTTGGGGTGGGGAGACCCACCATGAAAACAACCATGCAAGTATACAGGTCCAGTGTTCCATGGGATATTTAGAAGGGGAAATTCTCTGTTGACTTCCAGGGATGTTCATGATTCCATTATATATATTGTTAACTGACAAAAGGCAAGTTGCAGAATATACTTTTTTGGGTTCCAATTTTGTTAAAGCAACCAGAATCCCTGGGGTTATGTGTGTCTTTATTTTTCTGCAAAGAGAAAGGTCTGGAAGGTTACCAGGCTGTTTTAGCACTGTTTACTTATTAGTAGGGCCAAGAACAGAATGGAGGGGAATTACATTTTAGGACGGTTTCACATGGTGCAATCAGCAAATACTACTATTTTTTAGTTTTAGAAATTAATAAAGGAAAAATACCAGGTTTGCAAATCTTAACGTTGAAAGATTTCTGAGTGGTATCGTTCAATTTTTTTTCTTGGCATTGTTTTTCCTATGCAAATCTTAAAAGTTCTTTTTGTGTAGCTCATGAAAATAAGTATTGAAAGCTCAATAGCTTTTTCTAATTGACAACTAATTTATTTTTTTCTGCAGGAAACAGAAGGAGGGTAATTTTGACATTGTCTCTGGAACTCGCTACAAAGGAAATGGAGGTGTATATGGCTGGGATTTGAAAAGAAAAATAATCAGGTATATACATGTGCTGCAATTTGTCTAGTTTTTATTATAACTACTGGGAATATGTTTATGATGGGTATTTAGATTACATTATCATGCTGCCTTGGGATTTCTGGGATTAGATTGTTAACTTCCAATATGTACTCACAGATAGGTCCTTATGTACAATTTTTCCTATGATCAAAGTATTTTATTTTGGATATTTTTCACTAAGGAAAAATCAGCATAAACCTTCTTTTTTTTTTTTTTTTTAAAGATTTTATTTATTTATTTGAGAGAGAGAGAATGAGAGATAGCACGAGAGGGAAGAGCGTCAGGGGGAGAAG